AATTATTCAACTTCCTTTATAACTTTTAAAAAAAATGTCTAAGCATCGTAACAAATACAAATCTGTTTGAAGTTATATGGTCATAAAGTGAGTGAGTCAGTTTAGTTTTACGCCGCACTCAGCAATATTCCAGCTATATGGCGGCGGTCTGTAAATAATCAAGTCTGGACCAGACAATCCAGGGATTAATCATAAAGTGAGAACACAACTGGGCTTATGTTAAAGTTTATGACTCCGGATACTTTCGATCTTAAACACCAGAACTTATTTCAGTATCGATCACTATTTTGCCCATACATACAAGATGGCTGCGTGTTGTATTCACAGTGTAGTTCATTTACAGTGTGCATTCGAGGGGGAAAAGACAATTTACATCCTTGGTAGATAGTAGATAAACATGAAACACAAATAGTTATCTGATAGTGGTATCTTGGATCAAGGTATCATCTATATGTTGTGGGACTTTCGTCTGCCGTATTTCGGCGAATGGTTTCAGGGTGCTATGCAGCTGATTTTTGTGAAACATCCAGTGCCTACGTTTTCCAACAGTTTACGTGTTGCACAACACATGATCACTTTTCACAAATACCAACCCTTGATAGGGGGATCTTGCGGTCTTGCGAATATACGGTACCATGTTTGGTGTCTTGAAGGGTACACACACATCAGGTGGACATTTCTGAAAAATGTCCATTTGCTTAAAACCTTATTCAGTGTGTTTGTCTCAAGGTCCAAACATTTTGTTACAACAATTCATTAAATGATATACATTCTAAAAATATCCCACATCTCACTTACCAAGACCTCTATATATAAAGTGTATTTTCCAGAAAAAACTCTATCACACAATAGTAATGGGAATTGGTTAAACTCTCATAATTGATGATTTCTTCATTACAACCGATCAATCATCGAAAATAATTGCTTAGAGTCATTTATGAATTTTTCCTGCTTATTTTTGTTAATGCACAAAAACATAAAGAAAAAGCATGTAGTTCTTTGGGTTTTTTTGGCCAGAAACATACATTTCTTGGGGTCTTTGAGATAAATTCAATCGTGACTTGGAACGGGCTTGTAGTGGTCATGAAATGTAACAGACAAAACCAATCTTGTGAAAAATATTGTTAATGCAAAAAGTGTTCCTGAATTGTTTGTGTTCGATTATGAGAACACATGATCGATTGCTTGTTCGTTTATTCACTGCAACCAATCTTCGATTATTTCAATTAATCGGACCACCACTATCACACAAGTAGCACACCCACGTAGCCCCCAAAACAAACACAAAAACAAACACACAAACACAAAATCACACACAAAAACAAATTCATAAACGAACAAACGAAAGAACGAACGAAGGAAGAAAGGAAGGAAAATAATCACACATTAGATATAAAAATCGAAACAAGTGAAAATGTTATTGCTAAATATGATGACAACCTACTCGGGTCTTGTGCCAGCTGCCGACACGTGTATAACAAGTCACTCAAACTCCACTCAAGCCCGGTAATTTCCTGACTCAGAACAACTCAATACAACTATCACACGGCATGTCCCTGTTGGAGACGCAGACAGTTATTAACTTCCTAATACGTGTTCAGTCAGGGACCAAGTTGACGTCTTTTGGTCTCGAGTGGTTCCGATTGTCCTGTGGCGAGGCGGTTGACAGATGTTTCACCCACATTACGCAATCTGTTTACCTCGACACTTTCCGCAGGGCGGAGACAGCATGATCGGTTCGATTGTAAATCTCACAGGGATTAAAGCGTTGATCCGGAAAGTCTCATAAACATTCGGCCAGTCTCGTCCTTCTCCGTTATTTTAGGTATAATTAATCTTTTACATACACACTTACGTGATGACTCGGTGGGGGCAAAAGTAACGGGCTTCCCACTAACTCAAACGTTAAACTTCTTTGAGTGGCATTTTAGAACTCAAACGTTGACTTGTCGACCCCTGCCTATCAGATTGTTTATGTCATCGAGGGACCGTGGGGTAGCCTAGTGGTTAAATATTTAGTGTTTTACACTGCTGGTAGCAATATTCCAGCCAAATCATGACATCAGTAACAGGCTTCACACATTGTACCCATGTGGAGGATCGAACCTGGGTCTTAGGCGATACGAGCAAACACTTTAACTAGGGATGTCACGAGCCAGGTGCCTCACGAAACGATACGTATCTCGATACTGAGGTCACGATACGATACGTATCTCGATATTGAGGTCACAATACGATACGTATCTCGACACGAAGCCATGATACGATACGTATCTCGATATTGAGGTCACAATACGATACGTATCTCGACACGAGGCCATGATACGATACGTATCTCGATATTGAGGTCACAATACGATACGTATCTCGACACGAGGCCATGATACGATACGTATCTCGATATTGAGGTCACAATACGATACGTATTTCGACACGAGGCCATGATACGATACGTATCTCGATATTGAGGTCACGATACGATACGTATTTCGACACGAGGCCATGATACGATACGTATCTCGATATTGAGGTCACGATACGATACGTATTTCGACACGAGGCCATGATACGATACGTATCTCGATATTGAGGTCACGATACGATACGTATCGCGATACTGCATTTCCGACATTTTGCCCGTAACAAGCAGCCATTACCAGGATGGTTAATGATACCATAGCACAACAGTCCCCAAATACCCGTTAATAGTTGATCGAAGTCATATCTTTTATAGTTAGAGATTACTACAGAAACGGCAACTGACCACCAGCCAGGTACCCATCGACCACACACACACTTAGAACCGTATAAGAAAATTACAAAAAACAATGTAATTAGCTCGCTGTTTTGTATCCTGTTTGTATTTGACAAAAATTTAAAAAACAACTTTGTTCAGTTTCCGCTTAAGTAAATATTCAGTGAAATTTCACAACTAAAACAGTTAATAATTCACCTTATACCACTAGGGTGTGTTATGTCCATTGTTCCGGCGGGTTGATTTTCTGCGTATCAACCTTCCGTCTGCACGTGCAGAGGTTGATATGTGGATAACGACCTGGTCGGTGCAGGAAACGCACGAGCAACGAGCAATGTAACGAGTCCATGCGGCGCCCTCGTGGTATAAGCAGGTTAGCACCCCCCTCTGCGGGTGATGTGGATTCAACGCTCTCGCCTGACGGCTCGAGCGTTGAAATCCATATCACCCTTAAGGAGGGTGCTAACCTATACTTATACCACTAGGGTATGTTATGTCCATTGTTCTGGCAGGTTGATTTTCTGCGTATCAACCTTCTATCTGCACGTGCAGAGGTTGATATGTGGATAACAACCTTGGCGGTGCAGGAAACGCACGTGCAACAAGCAATGTACGAGTCCATTCGGCGCCCACGTGGTATAAGCAGGTTAGCACCCCCCCTCTGCGGGTGATATGGATTCAACGCTCTCGCCTGACGGCTCGAGCGTTGAAATCCATATAACCCTTGAGGAAGGTGCTAACGTATACGTACTCGTCGTATCTTGAACATGCTCATTCTCTGTAGAACTAATCATTGCAACAACTGTCAAAGTAGATAACTTAGACGTATCAAAACGTCGCAAATTGAAGTTGCAAATTGAAATAGCTTGCAACGATTTTAGATTTGTGCTTAAATTACACTTCTTTAATTCTCACAGTTCATACTTCACTGTTCTAAGCCAATGAACTCGATGACACACAGTTAGCCAATACAGTAAAAACCTAACACGCACTGGCTCATCCTGCCCAGAATGAAACATACGATTAAGACTTTGACAACCTCAATGCTGATGAACTACGATCGTCCAATGTTTTCTTAGGTTTACAATATCCCTGGTGATAATTTTTTCACTTTTAAAACTGAACTTGGCAAATGCACCCAAAGTACTCTGTCCCGATAGTAGGGCGATACTGACCTCTCGAGGGCTTCGCTATGACTGGGGTTGTTTGCCTTTATGTGAATCCACCCCAGCTTCACAATAAACTTGAAGCTTAAAATATTTCGTAACATAAGCCTTAAATTTCCCAGGCGGTTTCTCAACCTCGCCTACTGTAAAATCCACAACGCTTCTTTTGGTATCAATACAAGAAGACAAAATACTCTTTATGAATATGTCAACTAATCATGATTATGTCAATGTTTTGGAGTGTATACAGCAAAGTTGGAGGAGAGTATTGAAAGGTTTTAAGATCTGCTCCAGAAAGGAGCACTACCACCAAATTCAGTTGAAGCCTAACTTGTTGCAATGGAAAATGCAACAAGATGACATCCCCATAGTCACAGCCTAAGTCATGTTTCCATGGAAACCACAAAATACAATTCATATCTGGATCTAAACCCCAAAAGGCACATCTAGGGATCATGCTTGATATGTGTACCAAGTTTGATGAAGTTAACATGTATAGTTTGGAAGATCTGCTCCGGACAAGATGACATCCCCATAGTCACAGCCTAAGTCATGTTTCCATGGAAACCACAAAATACAATTCATATCTGGGTCTAACCCCCAAAAGGCACATCTAGGGATCATGCTTGACATATGTACCATGTTTGATGAAGCTAGCATGTATAGTTTGGGAGATCTGCTCTGGACAAGATGACATCCTCATAGTCACAGCCTATGCACGGACGGACGGACGGACGGACGGACGGAACTCGTTTCTATATCCCCTGCAACTTCGTTGTTGCGGGGGATAAAAATGCGCCAGTGTGCGTTTCCATGTGTGTTATCAGGACGGTCTCGTATTCGTTATTGAGCCAGATAGATTATAAACGGGTTTGAATAAAGTTTGATATGAGATATTATTATCAAAACAATACTCGATATACGTCAACATCTGATTTGATACTAAAACAAATGAATCATGTATCGTATCGCGCAAAACTTGCTGGCGAGGCACCGGTGAATCATGACATTACTAGCTTCAACCATACTGCTACCCAACAGCCCCAATAAACAAAGAACTGTAAATATATAAGCAAATCACCTATTAAAACCGTTTATTCTTTCTGAACGCACCAATCACATGGATCGTACATTTATTTCCTCCTATTTTTCCGAAATTTCAGCGATGCGCGTGAAGCTCCAACTTTGGTCTGCGCGTCAAGCACCGCTAGATGGCGTACATATAGGCGTTGATCCTCACTGTCAGACATTCATTTAGGCCCTATCACACAGTCTATCATATAGTTCCAGCAGTCTACACCAGCACTAAAAGTGTACGTGCTTCCAGGTATTGGTATACTGTTGATGAAACTGTACGATCTCATGACGTAGTTCACCGTCAACGTCTTCGTCCCCTTGCACGTCTGCATCGCCACCGTCCCACCTCGAGGGTCCAGCAAGCCCAGAAAATCCCCCTTCTGAAGATCGAACCTGTGACGGGGGTCAAACTTCCACGTGACAGCACGGCCTCCGATGCATGTGACGACGTTACTGCCGACGAGAGTGAACTCGCGGGGTGCACTGCTTTTTCTGGAAAATCAAATATTGTGGATTGGTTTCAATCAACGGATTTCTGATGTCCTCTGTACCAACATTTGTGGTGTTATTGTGTATCAAGGACGGAGGTGTGTAACAGAATACTTTTGGTTGATTATGTCATGCATCAGTGAAATCTGGGAGTCTGACCTCTCGATCGCATCAGGCGACTGCCCCTTGTCCGAAATACCAAGCACATATAATGCAAATACCATTGCCTTATGTTAGCGTTCATCCCTGAAGATCCGGATCAGAACTGGTCTTCTATAACCCTTACTTGTCAAGAGAGGCGACTAACAGGATCGGGTGGCCAGGCTCGCTAACGTGGTTGATACATATATCCAAACTGCTTAGATTTGTCCAGACTCGATTATTTACAGACCGTCGCCATATAGCTGGAATATTGCTGAGTACGGCGTTAAACAACAAACCAACCCAACCAACGTTGCTCAAAATGTCAATCACAGGATTGTTTGGTCCAGACAGGGTCACTTACAGACGGCAGTCATACAGCTGGAATGTGTTGATTGTGTTACAAACTTCCAGAAACATGAGAGTTGCCTCCCTTACACTTGTTTCCAGAACATTTAATAAAGAGTTGCTTCCCTTACACTTGTTTCCAGAACACTTAATGAAGAGTTGCCTCCCTTACACTTGTTTCCAGAACACTTAATGAAGAGTTGCCTCCCTTACACTTGTTTCCAGAACATTTAATGAAGAGTTGCCTCCCTTACACTTGTTTCCAGAACATTTAATGAAGAGTTGCCCCCCTTACACTTGTTTCCAGAACATTTAATGAAGAGTTGCCTCCCTTACACTTGTTTCCAGAACATTTAATGAAGAGTTGCCCCCCTTACTCTTGTCTCCAGAACTGAATGAAGAGTTGTCCATCCCTCCTGCAGTAGGCTCGACAGGCTTGCAGCTTGGCTGACCGGTCAACGGAGAAGTAAGGGGAGGGACCGGCCAGTGACGTCGACCCGGGGGTGGCGCTTCGGGTGTCGGTCACGCGGATGTTGTTCAGGTTGGAGCAAACGTTTTGTTCGGCTGAAAATATACCAACACTTCTTCAAGTGAGAGTTGTCATAGTAAAGCGCAAAATTTCAATATGTTCTCATGAAGGATTTCAAATGGATTTCTCTGCAGAAATCACCGAAAATGAATGTCAATGCAGCAGTTTTGAGATTATTGACTGAGAATGGTTTTACTCCACATTTTAGCATTGATGCAATATCACGACAGGGGACACCGGAGATGAGCTTTACACATTGTACCAATGTAGGAAATCGAACTCGGCTCTCCGACGCGACGAACAAAAGCTTCAATCATGTTGCTATTCGACGGACCAATTTTTCAGATGCCCGTAACCCGTATTTAACACCCCTACTCGAATTGTTGGAGGCACAGTGCATGAAGCCCATTTCTGGTGACCCAGACGCGATATTGCTGGATTATTGCTAAAAGCGGCGTAAAACTAAACTCACTCGAATTGCTGACAGTATGTGTATGAGCTAAGCGGTGCGTTTGATCAGATAGGTCATGAGGTTCTCAGAGTGAGTTGTTTCAACGGGGATTTGAATAGCTGAAACTTTGGATAACGACCAAGACTCTGGTCATAGACAGTTTGTTATTTTAAATCAGTAATAATTTTGAAAGCCACTATACGCATATATTTTGCCAAACTTTGCGTCGATCCTCCGACAAGAACCAGCTTCAGAGGGACAATGGTTGTCCTCAGCAATGCAAGACTTTGCACTGGATTATCTCCCCTCAAAATAGCTTCATTATAGGTTAAACCACCCCGATGTGCGAAGATTTTTCGAGAATCTTTGTTCACAGTCATATTCTGGAAAAGACTTAACATGTCGAAGCTCTTTATTAAAAAAAACGGAATGTGAATATCAAGATGGTTCATTTGCTGTACTCACGTGCACAAACCAGCGCTGTCCCAGTCAGTGTTCCGTTTGGGCGACAGGCCCGGTACTGGTTTCCAGAAACACGGCGATTTCCATTGTTGCAGCTGTACGTTACAAACTCGCCGGTTTTCAGTATGACCCTGTCTATGGTTGTGTTGGAACAGCACGGCTTCGGTACACAGCAGTAGCCTGGGACCATAGGTGTGCATTGAAATGTATAATCTACACGTGATTAACAAAGCAATGTATATTTAAGAAATACAGTTCGCTCTACCACCATGTATAGTGTAATAAAGCACACTTTCGCCCTGAACTACTATACGTGTAGTTAAAGTACGAGGACGCTTGCGTCCGATTGCTTAACGTTATAATAGTTCAGGGCAAAAGTGTGCTTTATTACACTATATACATGGTGGTAGAGCGAACTGTATTTCTTTTCTAAGATGCCAAATTTAATACTTTCTAAGAATAATTACGACCAATTTAAGGCAGAAAACAAACGACGGTGTCGGTGACCTAAATTAAGAATCCTCGCACAGGGCTCCTCGCGCAGGGCTAACTGGCGCGCTGATGTGTCTGCCCCCCTACGCTAAGACGAACGTTACAAGAAAAAACAAATGATACCAGATTGATGACGGTTTACGTTCGGATTAAATATCTTCTCTAAATTATTTTAATTACATCTGTCATTAACGTAATCCATATGGGGCAATATGAACGTCGCATTTCTACGACCAACGTAAGTTTAGATCAGTACATCCAGATGAAGCTGAGTAGTAAAGCGACATTCCACGATTGCATTGTGGGAATGTAAACATTGCGAACGTTACCGTGTCGGTGAAAACTTGTGAGTCGAATTGAGACATTTTAACCGTCGGAAAACATAAACGTAATGTTTCCACCAGTGATGTTAGCTGCGTGAAGCAACTGCAAACCAAAAAACGGGATGCAACGGAGTAGTTTACTAGGCGATGACAACTGACATGCATCGTGACGTCGCTTACATTGTGACGTAATACGGTGTAAAATGGTTCGATTACGAGGGGGCAGAGTAGAATGGCGCAGTGACGGGATAACGTCATTCAATTGTTACGTCATCAAAAAAATATACCTTTATTGTCTGATAATGTATTTTTTTTTCGATTGTTCTAACCGCTAGGCATCTTAGCAACATTGTTAGCAGCCGGTCCAAACAGATATATAACGTAGAAAAGATGGAAAATATTCATAATTTTCTATATAATGCTCATTATTTTGTACAATCAACTACGAGCTAAATCCACCAGCACGATGCTGACAAACCAGCTGTCATAATCTGGGATTTTCCATGATCAGCAGATCCTGTGATAACAAAGGTGCAAAACTCAACACAGAATATTTTTGCGTCTTATGCTACTTGTGCTTTTTTGTTACTTTGTGTGGACTATTAGGTTAACTGCTTTTTTGTATGCATCTTAATTGAAAGTTTTGCAAAATCATCATCATCAAAATGTTTTATGTCTCTTTGCATCGCTGTCATAATTATAATATTACCTTCATCAACACCATCACATGACATCGTAAGACTTCGTCCATACTGTACTCAGTCACATTAGACATCATTGTTGTCGTCACCTCAACAGCCAATATTATCCCTACAAGTGCAGAGCTGCTTTAAAACTTACTTTTCTCCCCGACCACTGCCCTCACCCCGACCCCCTACCCTCCCCCGACCACTGCCCTCACCCCGACCCTACCCTCACCCCGACCCCTACCCTCACCCCGACCCCTGCCCTCACCCCAAACCCTACCCTCACCCCACCCCTACCCTCACCCCGACCCTCACCACAAACCCTACCCTCATCCCGACCCCTACCCTCACCCCGACCCCTACTCTCATCCCGACCCCTACCCTCACCCCTACCCTCATCCCGACCCCTACCCTGACCCCGACCCCTACCCTGACCCCGACCCCTGCCCTCACCCCGACCCCTGCCCTCACCCCAACCCCAACAATATTTATTGTGATAAATCACTACAAGTACTCATTACATTAACGTAACTAAAAGTACCTCGCCGCCAACACATCAACCCATCCCACTATTGACCCCATCTTCACCACCATGACTTACTGGAGTTGCACAAGCCGGCGGTGTAGGGACAGTACATCTCAGCATACTCCCTGTGGTCCTGCGCAAAGCGGGGATTCTGTGCCAGACTCTCCTGACAGTTGCTCTTCCGGTCACCACAGGTGTTGGAGCCGTTCAGTCCTGTACAGACAAGATGACCAGTGGGTGTTGGCGAATAAGTAATCCATGTTGTTTTATGAGCAATATATTTAAGAAATATAGTTCGCTCTACCATCATGTATAGTGTAATAAGCACACTTTCGCCCTGAACTATTATTGCTAAAGTACGAGGACGCTTGCGTCCGAGTGCTTAACGTTATAATAGTTCAGGGCGAAAGTGTGCTTTATTATGCTATACATGGTGGTAGAGCGAACTGTATTTCTTTTCTAAGATGCCAAATTTAACACTTTCTGAGGATAATTAGGAGAAAACAAACGACGGTGTCGGTGACCTAAATTAAGAATCCTCGCACAGGGGTAACTGGCGTGCTGTTCTATTGATTTGTCTGCCCCCCTACGCTAAGACGAACGTTACCAGGAAAAAACCCAAATGATACCAGTTTGATGACGGTTTACGTTCGGATTAAATATCTTCTCTGAATTATTTTGAGTAGTCAAGCGACATTCCACGATTGCATTGTGGGAATGTAAACATTGCGAACGTTACCGTGTCGCTGAAAACTTGTGAGTCGAATTGAGACATTTTAACCGTCGGAAAACATAAACGTAATGTTTCCACCAGTGATGTTAGCTGCGTGAAGCAACTGCAAACCAAGAAACGGGATGCAACGGAGTAGTTTACTGTAGGAGGCTGTACGAGGCGATGACAACTGAGAGGAATCGTGACGTCGTTTACATTGTGACGTAATGCAAAAGTGTTTGAATACGAGGGGGCAGACTAGAATGGCGCAGTGACGCCAATACATTGTGACCTAATGCAAAAAGTGCACATTATCGTCTGATAAAGTACTGTCGGCGCCTTTGATCTTTCACCGAAGCATCTTAGAAATATCTATTTCACGTCGACATGTTAATTTATCTTGGACCAGACAAACCACTGATTGAAACCATAAGCATGTGTCCAATAATCATAGTGGGTCGATCGTGGCGTCCTTCTGGATTGTTGCCTATCTATGTACATTACATTCGCTGTAGTCTCTTTGAACACTCAACCTTTCTAATTGATAATTGCTAACACTGTTAATTGGGCCGGGGGCGGTGGGGTAGCCAACTGGTTAAAGCGTTCGCTCATCATGCCGAAGACCCTGGTTCGATTCCCACATGGGTACAATGTGTGAAGCCCATTTCTGGTGTCCCCCGCCGTGATATTGCTGGAATATTGCTAAAAGCGGCGTAAAACCCAATTCACTCGCTAACCAGATAGGGCTCAAGCACTGTACATAGAAGGCTTCAATCAGCAGCATCCTGGGCCCTTATTCTCGAAACGTTCGTAGCCCTAAGAATTCTTAACTTTGATCGTAGCCAATGTGTTAAGAATGGGCTTAAGAAGTTCGTAGGGCTACGAACGTTTCGAGAATAGCTAGCCTGGATGGGGTTACTTACCCTTGTAGTCCACCTTACATAGGGCCCAGGCACTGTAGTTGTCTTTACGCGTTCTTGCCAGTCTGTTTTTGGATGGGTGATTTTCAGGCATGAGTACCCCCACGTCGCGACCATTGGTTCCCCGGATGCCGTTAGCTGGAAATAATGGTCATCGTGTTTAAGCCGCACCAGGAAGGTCAAGGACAACGCTGGTATGTTCCACATCCTTCACTTAAAGAATCTATCGGACGTGACATGGAGTAACACGACCCTTGCTATTAGTAAGGCTTGGTAAGCTGACCCCAATCGTGAACACCTGGTGTCATCACTAATGCTCCCTAGACCATACATCTATGTTTTACAGCTTAGCATGATATTTATAAACGATTATTTGCACTAAATACCAGTACTAGTGTAGAGAAGGATGTTCTTTTCTGATCAACATGGTGACCGACCATTGGACGAACAGATTTGTCTGGGATCTAAAGCGTTATAATCATGTACATAAATATAGAATCATACGTTTTTGTCAAGTTTGCTTGAACTTCAAACGTAGAGCAGTGTGTTGCTTTTCTTTCCACGTTATCATAAACGTTTAATTATAAATATTCTTCAATTATAAAATACCAAATTCTCAGAAGGAACATAGAGAATGCAGACTTATATATTCAGATCCGATCATATATTCTTAATTACCCATGAGAATTATATTTATATTATATTTTATAGCGATATACGTATGCGTGTGCACGTGCGTACTTATATATGCTGGTGCTCGCACACTGAGATAGAAAACCTCAGTTTGACATGAATACCCCCCACTGACATACTCACTCCGAATATTTTGTCCCCTGAGTGCTAACTTCCAGGCGGAGTAACAACAAGCACGGTTTTGTGACGTCATCTGGTATGACGAGGCCGCGCATCGAAACCTTCGCCCATTCGCTGCCTTTGCAGCCACTGTAGTTACTAGGCAACAGAGCTGATATACCTCATCATGTACTAGGGACGCTGGGGTAGCCTAGTGGTTAAAGCGTTCGCTCGTTCGCCGAACACCAATGCGGGAAGCCCGTTTATCTTGTCCCCTGCCGTGATATTGTTGGAACACTGCTAAAAGCTCTGCTAAACTGCTAAACTCACTCACTCACTCATCATGCACTACCCATGCACTATTTACCGTTATTGTTCTTCCACATCTGGGCGGCAAATGACGACGTGGACACCCGCTGACCGTTATGTTCCCAAACCCAGGCATTGTTGGTATACTTCATGCCGATCCACACCTTGCCGGACACTGGTCTGCAAGGATATATTTTACAGGTTGTTCAGCTTGACCTGATCAAGTGAATTCTATTGCATTGCAAGACCGTGTCACAACTGGTTGGGTCTATTACTTTGAAGGGGTGCACCTTTGTCAACAGATTGTCAACATGTCCGAACAGCCGAGACAAGGTCGATAGAAAAAAAGATAATTGAACTTAGTGGAGAGAGTGATAGCGAGAGTGAATTGGATTCTGAAAGTAACTGACTTTACATCGTTAAGTTAGTAAACCAAACTAGATAGCATATGACTGTAAAAACAATTCATGTTTTAATTGAATTGTTTTTTCAGAAGTGTTGTTTTCCGGGACAAGTTCTGTAACGAATCCATGTACGTATGTTTCGCACGAACACAACAATAACAACAGTCTCTGCTCCCCTATTTAAGGAAGTTAACTCAACCAGCCGTTTGTGCCATTGACCTCTCGGGTCATGCATTTGTAGAGTAGCTCAGGTCAAGCTGAACAACCTGAAGAGGGTGAGTAAATTTGTTTACCAGTCAGGCCTGTATATATCCAGTGACCAGTAATCTCAACACACAGTCAGTCGGCTACAGATCCTAACCACCGAGACTCATGTACTTGAACTAGGGGAGACTATTGAGGGGGAAACAACTATTGCGATAGCGATATCTAGTCTATTGCAACCAACTATTGCATTACTATGTTTTTCTTAACTTGTCTCATTTGATGTCATTTCCCACACGCATGTATAGTTTATATGAAAGAAAAAAGAGGTTGAAGTAGTTTCAGTCTCTTTCAATAACTGACAAGAAACTTGAAACCCAGACCAAGTGAACGGTCATGTTGGTTTAAGAGGTAACAGGGGCGGATAACTCTAAATGAAACTGAACGTGTCCGGTAATTCCTGTATTTTTACCAACGGAAGTCAGTTACTAAACTATCGATAGTCATACATACTATCGATGCATCGATAGTTTCTCGTTTCTACTATCAATGAATTGCTATTGGAGATTCAACAATAATAATTTTTCATCGATAGTTCGATGCATCCTTACAGCCCTAACTTGAACCCCCACGACAAGGTGAGGTGAGGTGAGGTGAGGTGAGGTGAGGTGAGAGGTGAGGTGAGGTGAAATTGGGTTTTACGTCGTGCTTGAGAATATTTCGCTCATATGACGACGTGCATGCGTGTGTATGTGTATGTGCGGCTGCTTGTACTAGCCCAGACTTAAGCTGATTTGATAGTGCTAGCCCACTGAGATACCATGCCGCAGTGAAGCATGAATACCCCACTCAGACACATTATACTGACACCAGGCAGGGACCAACAAGTACCATATTTTAACGTGTTTTGGTATGACGCGGTCGGGGATTGAACCCGCGACCTTCCGCTCTGCGGGCGGACGCTCTAACCACTACACCACGGAGGCGGTACCCACGACAAGGAAACCGGGGAACGGAACAGTTATACCTCAACTGTCGGGTGTAGTCATAGGCTTTGTTGTGTTAATAGCCCACGCCTTTTGATAGATATATATTTTAACATCGTAATGCTAGAGCAGGAAGGACAATACCAACAACCTCAGTATGAACGGTCTTATAACGGCATGACTAAGTATTGTGGGAGATGCTTGGCAAAAAGTGTTATGATCATTGTGTCTAGCGGATCGTTGTAGAGAAAAGGACGTAACTCGAATAAACCGCTTGGTGTATGATCAGACCTAAGTCCTCTTTACTACTAATGTACCCAACATCAGGCGAGTTCCACCTCTACCCTAAAATCACGGGTAAAATGAAAATAGCAATGCAGTGAGTGAGTGAGTGAGTTGGTTGGTTTGTGGTTTAACGCCGCACTCAGCAGTATTCCAGCTATACGGCGGCGGTCTGTAAATAATAGAGCCTGGACCAGACAATCCAGGGATCAACAGCATGACCATCGATCTACGCAATTGGGTTACAATGCCATGTGTCAACCAAATCAGCGAGCCTGAGCACCTGATCCCGTTAGTACCCTTTTACGACAAGTATTGGTTACTGAAGATCAATTCTAACCCGCATCTTCACGGGTATGAGTGAGTGAGTGAACGAGATTCAGACAGGCAGCTTAATTGGGCAGAAAATCAGAATGGATGCAATTTTAACATTTACCTCTTTGTTGAAAACAATGCCGTGGATGGCACTATATCTTTAAGACATGATACCAAAATATCTTGTAACTATTTCCACTCAAAGGACTTGCACTACATGGCCCTTACATTTTGGTGTTGTTGTTCCGCAGAGGGATGATGACGTTCACAAACTCATCCCAGGTGTCCACCCACACGGGCGCGCTGAACCCTGGGACCAGAGCGTTACAGCGAGAGAAGGCGTCCTGCCCCTTTATAGCGTCAGGTAACCAGCTGTAGCAGTTGTCCTTCACCTTCTCGAATCCCCCCGGACAGCCTGCGAACATACGGGACACGTCACAAGGTGAATGTAAACGTCAAGCCCAATCTTACGCTTGGGGAGCTTATATAAGTTACTTACACTTCCATCCAACCTTACAACGTTGTGAAAACGCAGTGTGTTAGCTGGGGGCTAAGTAAGATGTCTAGATTTAAATTCATTACGATCACACAGCAACGTTACAGTTTCGTAAGTGAATGTATCTGCTGCTGTGTGATCGTAATAAATTTAAATCTAGACATCTAGGCAGCTAACACACTGCGTTTTCACAACGTTGAAAGGTTGGATAAAACGTTGTCACATACGTCATATTGCAACGGTATTTCACAACCTAATAGCAACGTTATACAGGGGAAATAGGCAACCATACATATTATTTAAGAAATCTTTTTATAATAATTTTCTGATGACGTAAAAATGAAAATATAAAAGAAAAAGGCACTGGCATGTTATGACATGTCACAAATGGTAAAAAAATCGCCATAGTTTTTGAATAACATTATAAAAATAAACTTCATATTTATCAACAGTAGGATTATAATTTCCTTCATAAACATAGGCTTCATCTATGACCTCAGAGTCTCGATAGTAAGGCAAGATATCAAGGGGAAGTAACTCGGTGCATATACTGTGGTTTCAGCAGTACGAACGTTTCACTATCCGAACGTTTTTTTTAAAAAACCAAAGTGTTCGTATTAACGAGGTCTGACTGTATACGTCGTAAAAAAACGGCGTCATGTTTCAAACATTCTGAAACATTCTCCTTCCCGAAAATCGAGAATAGCAAGAGTCAACCTAGAATCCAACGTAATTTCAAGACTGTAATGCATTATTTACTCATATATAACGTTTCACCAAGGGAAACATAACGTTTTGACTGCGTGAAATTGTGAGCTGAATATTTACTGACGAATAAGGGACACAACTCTACAAAGCAGATATGTCGCCATCCACTAATAATCCTATCATCACCTTTACTTCGGCATAAACTAAAGATAGTCGTACGCTTAAGTCGCTTTGATAATCCCAAACAATCTCAGTCTCGCTGGACCGCCAAATCCCACAATTTAGGGAAAAGGAAAAGGAACCAGCTCTGATTATATAATACTGACTGACTGCGTTTTGGTTTTACGCCGCTTTTAGCAATATTCCAGCAACATCACGGCGGGGGGACACCAGAAATGGGCTTCACACATTTTGCCCATGTGGGGATTCGAACCCGGGTCTTCGGCATGACGAGCCAACGCTTTAACCATTAGGCTACCCCACCGCCCGATTATATAATAGGTACAACCAGTTAGTTGAATGGCGCACCTGAGCAAAAATTGGCCAGGCTTGACCACGTGCCATCTGACCGACACATTATCTTCCTCTCAAGATTCCCATTTTTGCATTTTAGAGTTATCTTCTGTCCGACTCGGTAAAGGGGCGCTGTCAGTGGATGCCTTGATGACGTCATTTGAAATGACCGGCTCGCCACAAGAGACGCGAATAGCTGAAAACACACACGTTATCATGATGATCATGATTTTTATGAATCTTTTTATAATGTGTTCACTCGTCAGAATGCTATTTGCGGTTATCTTGACAATTTATGGCAGAAGACTCAAAGACAGGTTTTACATGAAGTCTAAACAAATATGGCTGAACCCGGTTTTAGGCGGGAGAAGCGAACACCTTTACATCAAGACTTGGTACAAACTGTCATACAAAAGTCATCAAAATTCATTTTGGGATACAGCTGGGACGAAATGACATTCTGCGGTTATTGTTTTCGACAGCAATTACAGTCATACACAATTATTGTTGGATACATAGAGTAAAGGTTATTATTTACGTGTACAAACGCCTACTGTGTTCGAACCTGGTGTTTCCTTTGCAGGGTAGTCCGGTATTTTCCCCTTGTCTAGACACGACTTGAAGCAAACCCTCCGTGTTTCATAGTCCTGGCATTCGGGATCCACAGCAAAAGACGAGGAACAATCATCTAGGAGATCGTAGGGAGGGACTGTAGGGAGAGATTGAGAGGGTGGGTTGGTTTACCCGTGCTTTGATCTGTCCAGGAGATCGTAGGGAGGGACTGTAGGGAGAGATTGAGGGGGTGAGTTGGTTTACCCGTGCTTTGATCTGTCCAGGAGATCGTAGTGGGGGACTGTAGGGAGAGATTGAGGGGTGAGTTGGTTTACCCGTGCTTTGATCTGTCCAGGAGATCGTAGGGAGGGACTGTAGGGAGAGATTGAGGGGGTGAGTTGGTTTATCCGTGCTTTGATCTGTCCAGGAGATGGTAGGGAGGGACTGTAGGGAGAGATTGAGAGGGTGAGTTGGTTTACCCGTGCTTTGATCTGTCCAGGAGATCGTAGTGGGGGACTGTAGGGAGAGATTGAGAGGGTGAGTTGGTTTACCCGTGCTTTGATCTGTCCAGGAGATCGTAGGGAGGGACTGTAGGGAGAGATTGAGGGGTGAGTTGGTTTATCCGTGCTTTGATCTGTCCAGGAGATGGTAGGGAGGGACTGTAGGGAGAGATTGAGAGGGTGCGTTGGTTTATCCGTGATTTGATCTGTCCAGGTGATAGTAGGGAGGGAGTGAAGGGGGAGATTGAGAGGGTGAGTTGGTTTATCCGTGCTTTGATCTGTCCAGGAGATCGTAGGGAGGGACTGTAGGGAGAGATTGAGAGGGTGAGTTGGTTTACCCTTGCTGTGATCTGTCCAGGAGATCGTAGGGAGGGACTGTAGGGAGAGATTGAGAGGGTGAGTTGGTTTATCCGTGCTTTGATCTGTCCAGGAGATCGTAGTGGGGGACTGTAGGGAGAGATTGAGAGGGTGAGTTGGTTTATCCGTGCTTTGATCTGTCCAGGAGATCGTAGTGGGGGACTGTAGGGAGAGATTGAGAGGGTGAGTTGGTTTAACCGTGCTTTGATCTGTCCAGGTACCGGTGAGTTGGTTTACCCAAGCTTTGATCAGTCTAGGTGAGTTGCTTTACCCAGGCTTTGATCTGTCCAGGTGAGTTGCTTTACCCAGGCTTTGAAATGCTCAGAGTATTCCAGTGATATCACCGTGTACTTTACGTAATGAACGTCACGATGCGAACCCGCGGTCATTGGAGATCGGAACGTTGAAGGGAGACAACTCTACACACTTGCTCGCGTGAACTGTCTTCTATTTCTCAATAAGAAACTGCTGTAGCCTGTTGATCGGGAATCCAACATTTCTTGTACTGAGCGTCTGAGTGGGTCACTTATATTTGACCTATAAAAATTCCTGTTAACTTTGTATATTGCACGGAGGTTATCATAAACAGAAATATCAATGGTAATGAAACCGTGCTGTTCACAGCGGCGTAAATTATTACTCAGTTGATCATTCACAATGCAATAAAAGATCCAGTGAGTGAGTGAGTGAGTTGGGTTTTACGCCGCTTTTAGCAATATTCCAGCAATATCACCACGGGGAACAGCAGAATGGGCTTCACACATTGTACCCATGTAGGGAATCGAACCCAGGTCTTTGTCGCCACGAGCGGACGCTTTAACCATTAGGCTGCCTCATCGCCCCTGAAAATGGCAAGATCTGACTATCACCGAAACAAACTGTTATGGTATCAGCTAAAAACAAAGTACACGTCTGCGTGTCACTCATTACTAGTATATATCTGTTAAATACCCAAAGAATAAATGGTTCGGATTTACCTTAACAGAGCAAAATGTTGAATTACGCCGTGACTAAAGGGAGATAATCATGTGAAAAATCGAACAAATTTAAGCGTATTCCTCGACAGCAATAAAAGGGCAACTATGCTTTAACCACAGACACAATGTTGTTGTCAGGGTAAAAACCCATGCTTGCCACAAAAGGCGACTATGCTTGTCCTAACTGGCGACTAACGGGATCGGGTGGGCGGGATCGCTGACTTGGTTGACACATTTCATCGGTTCCCCATTGCGCAGATCGATGCTCATGCTGTTGATCACTGGATTGTCTGGTCCAGACTCGATTATTTACAGACCGCCGCCATATAGCTGGAATATTGCTGAGTGCGGCGTAAAATTAAACTCACTCACTCACGTATACAGTACTCACCGGCCTGCGCCACGTCACAATACTTGTACGTGACGTTACGTTCAAATACACCCGTCATGCAATATGGCTTTGATCGCTTCTGTCCACAGTTGCGGCAGAAATCTCCTTCAAAATCACAGTAGTCCAAACCCGTTCCATCCCTAAAAACACACATTTAGGCCAGTGTAATGCCATGATATTTTTCCCCGACCGCGTCATACCAAATGACGTTAAAATATGGTACTTGTTGGTCCCTGCCTGACGCTCGGCATTAATGGGTACAACAAGGACTGGTCGGCTCGGAGTCAGTATAATGTGTCTGAGTGGGGTATTCATGCTACACTGCGGCATGGTATCTCAGTGGGCTAGCACTATAATACCAGCTTAAGTCTGGGCTAGTACAAGCAGCCGCACATACACATACACACGCATGCACGTCGTCATATGAGCGAAATATTCTCAAGCACGACGTAAAACCCAATTCCACCACCACCATGCTGGATGCATGGAAAGTTAAGAAAATATGCCTGATGTATCTCTTCTCACCTGATAAACTGAGTCGAATTCCATTAATATGTGTTTACTCCACGTGACAACATATCCGCGGGAGATTTGTTAACAACACTACATGGACAAGGCCCTTACTCCGCTTGTCTCGAACTACTTATTACGAATATCTGCATTTAACTCATACAACGATCGTATCTAGAAAAATTTAGGCTGTAAAAACATTTGGGTTTGAAGAACCATATGTACCTACGTGATGTTATAGAGGTTTTTAACCAGGTGGTACCCCTTGCTCCAAGGCAGACATTTCTCGAACCCCATAGCGTAGTTCATCTTCCCGTGGTAACTCTCGCCTTTACTCGCGATATCGTACGGCAAATCATTAGCTGAAAAAAAACCATAATATAGAATATGGCATAATTTCATTCTGAATACAGAACTCGGCGAATGCATGCCTTATGTCTAAATAGTTTATGTATCATTTGATAGGGAGTATATTTCGGTAAGGACCTATATGCCACATGTGACGTCATACCTTTGTTCTCCAATTGGGTTAAATATTAAGTGAAGCGATTCTAGGACATTATGCCAGATATCTTCGCATTAAATGCGTAACCCCGCCACTAGGAGGAAGCTTAATTGTTGGAAGGGTAAAGGACGCATTAAGTACACCTATTTGTATTCGGTATATCGATTTCCAGAGAAGAAATATTATACATATGAGTTTAAAAATTGAAAGCTTTTAAAGTACAATGTTATAAAGTACTCAAGGAATATAAAACCACGAAATATTGTTCATAAAAATTAATCTTAACTTACCAGGTGCGAGTTTGGCCGTGAGATTGAAACCGTTCCAATTGCAAGACGTATTGCCGGAAGTAAACCTGACGTAGGCCTTGTTGTTTATGGAGAGATAAGGCTTCACCTTTCCATTCTTGGTAATTCTGAAAAATATGTTTTGATAAATATGGATGACCGCTGAGGTGTGATAGTGAGGTGAGGTGAGGTGAAATTGGGTTTAACGTCGTGCTTGAGAATATTTCGCTCATATGACGACGTGCATGCATGTGTATGTGCGGCTGCTTGTACTAGCCCAGACTTAAGCTCGTTTTATAGTGCTAGCCCACTGAGATACCATGCTGCAGTGAAGAATGAATACCCCACTCAGACACATTATACTGACTCCGAGCCGACCAGTCCTTGCTGTACCCATTAATGCCGAGCGCCAGGCAGGGACCAACAAGTACCATATTTTAACGTCTTTTGGTATGACGCGGCCGGGGATTGAACCCGCGACCTTCCGCTCTCCGGGCGGACGCTCTAACCACTACACCACGGAGGCGGCAGGTGTGATAGTGATGGCAATGCAATGCAACAGTTGAAATCACGATCATCATGCTACTATCATAGGTATACCACACGTCAAGCTAGGGCGGTGGGGTAGTCTAGTGGTTAAAGCGTTCGCTCCTCACTTCGAAGACTCTGGTTCGATTCCCCACATGTCTACAATGAGCAAAGCCAATTTCTTGTGTCCCCCGCCGCGATATTGCTGGAACATTGCTAAGCAGCGAAACCCTAACTCACTCACTGACACGTCACGCTGAAGACGCTGGGTTCCATTGTCAACATGGTGAAGCCCAATCCGTGTGTGATGGAATAATGATACAGGAGACGTTAATTCCACCTCACTCACTCACCCACCCAAATCCTACTTTCTCTCATTAAGTCACCTAGGAACTGACCCACTCACTCTTTCACTTACCAACCATTCCATGCACCTATCCAGTCACTCACAAACCCACTTACTCACTCACTCACACCCCCTCTCACAGACCTACTCACTCACAGACCCACTCACTCACTCACAGACCCACTGACTCACTAACCGAATAACAGGTACCACAAACGTAATACTAGTTCATGTTTCTTCACATTCCAACAATGATGACGTCACCCCATGTGTTATTGGAGAGGCAAATGACACAGCGTATCTCTGATGAAGGGATGGTTTATTAAACTTGCCATCGACCCATGAGCAATAGATTGTTTTATGAATCGTCTCACCCATCGAGACCGATGAAATTAACACTTTGAGCAGAAGTTTAAGTTTAATAGAAATTGATCTGCATATTAATTTTAGAAACAAATTCTTGAAGTAGATGCTTGATCGAGTTGGTCATTGCTGTTATTTGAAACCACCACGTTTCCAGCCTGTCATTATTACAGCGATTGATGTAAGGTGTCACCTGACTAGTTTGTGTTAGTGAGGAACTTACGGTATCGGGGGATCAGAGAACATGTATCTGCCAAGACTGAGCGTGGCATCACAGCCGATGTCAACGTTGCTGAACATCAGCACAACCTGCGAGCCCTCAGCCGCCTGAAACAAAACAGGAATACAACTTACACTTGTACAACCACGTTGCCGTCGCCGCCGCTGCTGCTGTTGACGAAACTACGGTACAGCGCGGGGCAAACCATTGCTGCCCCATGTACTACAGTCAACTCGCAATACAAAGAAACTAACACGGTTGTTATGTACTACACCATGTATGTATCTTGGTAAATTGTCAATTCTGATGTCAGAAAAATAGCCACCTCTCACTGAAACAAGCTCTATATATTGGGAGTTGACACTACTAATTTAGCTATACAACCGCTCTGTTGGACGTTCTACTACTACTACTATTGATGCGGCTACTACTACTACTATTGATGCGGCTACTACTACTACTACTATTGATGCGGCTACTACTACTACTACTACTATTGATGCGGCTACTACTACTAAATTTACTACTACTTCTACTATTGATGCGGCTACTACTACTACTATTGATGCGGCTACTACTACTACTACTATTGATGCGGCTACTACTACTAAATTTACTACTACTACTATTGATGCGGCTACTACTACTACTACTACTACTATTGATGCGGCTACTACTACTACTATTGATGCGGCTACTACTACTACTATTGATGCGGCTGCTGCTGCTACAATTTGAAATGATCATCATCATCATCATTGTTATCCGACGATGGAGTATATGATGAGTGAGGTTTCGTTGTTGCACAGATTGTACAAATACAGAGGACATATAGCAGTGGGGACAATACAAGTGTACTTCAGGGGCTCCAGACAGTATACTAGGCAAGGAGTCGAACCAGATCTTCGTCGGGAAGCGCCAAACCTTTAACCACAAGGCTACAACCACAAGGCTACTACTACTACTATACTCTTCTGTTGCCGTTACTAGGGCTACAGACAAACCCATTGTCTGTACAACTACACTACTACACTACTACACCATTGGGTGAGTAGGGGCGGCGGAATAGCCTGGTGGTTAAAGCATTTGCTCGTTTCCCCATGTCTGTACAATATATGAAGCCCATTTCTGGTGTCCCCTGCCGTGATATTGCTGGAATATTGCTAAAAGCGGCGTAAAGCTAAACTCACTCACTCATAGAGTGAGTGTACTTTCACTTTCCTGGGCTGTTGCAGCTGCTGCCTTTACTACGCCTACGGACAAACCCATTGTCTGCACACCTGCTTGTACATTACTAGACTATGTACTGCGACTACTTTCACTGTCTGTGTCATGCTGCTAACACTAACTCTACTACAAGCTGTCTTTGGTCATCCTCGATAATCTCCAGGGTATACGTTACGATAAATATCCACTAGTACCCTGGATGCATCTATGGCTCGGCCCGATAATTTTATTACCTCCCTTTGCTGGCTTTGCTTCGCATTCTCACAGTAGCCAATCAGCTAAGCCGCCGTTACAACAGAGATTGTCAGTGTCCACAAAGATAGTGATCGCAGCCGCGAAGGTTTGTTCGCTGTGCCACTCAGATTTTGGGAGAAATCTTACAGACAAACTGACAGGTCTGCAACCTTAAAAAATACATGCAAGAACACTTTCTACCTCTTTCAGAGCACCTCTGCAACAAATATGTTGCCATGTTTATCTGTTAGATAAAGGAAGCAAAAGTGAGTTGTGATTGGTACGCTCAACTTCCAAGCGTAGACACCTGATTGGATAAAAAGCCAGCCAAGGGAGGTAATAAAATCATGAGGCCGAGCCGTAGGTTATACCCTGGAGATTATCGAGGATGTGTTTGGTAAACGTCAGACGTACCTTGAAGGCCCAGTTACACTCCACGTTGACGTCATATTTCCCAGGGTAGCCCGGGGTGGTTACCGAGACAGTTGGCTGGGTGGAGCTCAGGTCGAACACGCCCCCACACCCTGGGGACAAACGTCGAGATAAGGACACACGTGACCGTCATGGATTCTTTGGTTTTTAGCCGTTTTGGTTCTACCATTGTATCGATCGTAACTAGTGCTTGCTATCGACAATCGCAACAAAACCGTAACTTGAATTTAAGACAAAAAACACACTCCTGTTTTAATTCATGAAACAAAGACTAATTACATGAGAAAAAATACTGCAGTTATATGTACATATTTGCACAGAACAAACAACGGACATTTGAATTAAACAAGCATATATCTTTGCAATCACAACAAAAATACATCCATGGCTATATACGACAAAAAGAAATTAACATTAATCTGTTTATTTACTATGAAATAAAACACGATTATTGTGACCATTTAAGAGATGCAAGTATACACATTACCAAAATACATCAAAAGGCATATCCTGGAAACATGTAGCTACTTGCGTGTGCAGTCATTGCCTATATGTCTAATAGTGAGGCAGCAACCAGATATTTAGGGAACACAGAAGGCTTGTTGCTTTTATAAAAGCCCTATTATACATTCCTTACTCTAGAGTGAGTGAGTGAGTTTGGTTTTACGCCGCTTTTAGCAATATTCCAGCAATATCACGGCGGGGGATACCAGAAATGGGCTTCACACATTGTACCCATGTGGGGAATTGAACCCGGGTCTTCGGCGTGACGAGCGAACGCTTTGATCACTAGGCTACTCCACCGCCCCATCATTACTCTAGAACTGAATGCGTAGGAAATATAGTTTGGGGAGTAAACAGTTGGTAGATATTCAAGAAGAAACCTGTTGGTGTTATCAAGGTCGTTTAAACATTGCATTCGAATCTGGATCAAAGTGGATAACATAACATGCTTGTCATTATAGTTGTCTTGTAGTTGAAAGCAATTATTAAAACCAACTTAGAAATTAGGTCCAACATTATTTTACTGTCGAATTGAAATCATTGGAACTTCAAGGGCCAGTGAGTGTAGAATAAGTTCATCGGGATGTAACACCAAATAAAATGCTTCCTATGCTGAATGTGACACGAGTTTACCTCACCTGCACGAACAATCTGTCTGAAAGGTAATTTATTTTTGTTGTTCAATTGATTTATTACAGTAACCCAGAGTAATTGTATCAAAGAGAGAAAAGTGGGAAGCATATTCAGATCAGAATGCAAACTAACGGAGCATCGCCAGCTAAACTAAGTATGTCATATAGTGTTACTTTACCTGTTGGGAGGACGGTGGCACAGTTGGTAGCGGTGTCGAATCCGCTGGGGCAGACACACCGACACTTGCCGTCCACCATCCCTTGGTACCCTTCGTTGGCGCAGACCCGACTGACACAGTCAGTGTCACCTGGTAGAGAGTGTGTTCGTGAGTGAGTTGGGTTTAATGCCGCTTTTAGTGGTGTTACTACGGCTAAAAACTATTGGCAGGAGTACTTGGGTCTTGCTTCGCTATTAACTGCACTGGTACTTCAAAGTCTCAATCATGGCTCTCACAGCTCGTACCAAGTTGCAAACCGAATCTTTGTCATTAGCGAGCCGACCGAACACTTCAAACATTTGGATACCAACAGTGTCGCTGGTGCAGGCATCCTTAAATATTTCTCTCCTAACAAAACTCCGGACAATGTTTTTAGTTTTACTTGTATGGCCCTCGCAAAAAACATTTCAGATATAGCAGCATATCGGCTGTATGATCAATAGTGTTGGGAATTGGTTAAACTCTCATAATTGATGATTGCTTCATTACAACCGATCAATCATCGAAAATAATTAGCGTCATTTATGAATTTTTCCTGCTTATTTTTGTTCATGCACACAAACATAAAGAAAAAACACGTAGTTCTTTGGTTTTTTTTGGCAAATTTCACATCTTGAAAGGATGACTAGTATGTTAGGAACATAAATTTCTTGGGGTCTTTGAGATAAATTCAACCATGACTTGGAACGAGCTTATAGTGGTCATGAAATGTAACAGACAAAACCAACCTTGTGAAAAATATTGTTAATGCAAAAAGTGTTCCAGAATTGTTTGTGTTCGATTATGAGAAAACATGATCGATTGCTTGGTCGTTTAGTCACTGCGACCAATCTTCGATTATTTCAATTAATCGGACCACCACTAATGATCATGGTTCGATTTATGCAAACAGCATATTTATATTGACTTACTTTACTGATTGTGTCCAAACCTATGGACTTTTTTAGTCATGTGTTAGAGATAGTGGTTGGATGAAAAAAGATATAATGCTTTTTTTTAATGAAAAGTTCAATTTTAACCAAATTGTGAGTTGATGCTTGTCTCACCACAGCAGCCCTGGATGATGTTGATTTCCTTGAAGTACATGAACATACTATCCAGAGTCGGGGAGCCCAAGTCGTCATACAGGAACGTGTAGGTCGGCCAGCCGTACTTGGTCACCAGCTGAAAGTTATCCAAGGTCAAGGCCACGTGAAGTGAGAGTGCTTGAGTGAGTGAGTGAGTGTATGAGTGTGTGAGTGAGTGAGTGATTGAGTGGGTTGGATTAAATGTCGCTACGAACAGTATTCAAGTCATATTACGCCATGTTAACTTAATGTGGGAAGCAATAACGGTATTAGCCACTTCAATACTTCAGCTTCCCTGTATGGTAGCCATGCATTGGGATATTTCATAGGTAAGTATAGGTACCAAACCACCTGTGCTGGTTGAAAGAAGCGATCAGAGGATCGGGTGGACAGACCCCGTGATTTGTAAATCGCGTGCCTTTGTACCTTGATCATTGCCCAATGTATCAGTTATTGGATTGTGTTTGGTCCGAGAGTCGATCAGTCACAGGGCCGCAATCATAGAATGGAATATTTCTGAGCGAAGCTTAAACAAACAAGCTAGTAAGCAAAAGTGCTTTCATCTTAACGGATCATAACTGGGACGAATTTTGGATTCGAACTCATGGCGCGAACCACTGGTTGCTATGCAATTCAGATTTGACCACCAGACAAACAATGCCTTGTGTGTTATTCTGATGACAAGCGTGATCGATACTTACATATCGATTATACATCATGATTGACTGCGCCGAGAAGCCACACGACATGATGGCCATGTCACCTAAGTGTATCTATACCTGGGTGATCGATACTTACGTATCGATTATGCATGATTGACTGCGCCGAGAAGCCAAACGACATGATGTTGTGCATGTTACCTAAGTGTATCTATACATGGGTGATCGATACTTACATATGGATTATACATCATGATTGACTGCGCCGAGAAGCCACACGACATGATATTGTCCATGTCACCTAACGGCATCTCCTGCTGGGTGCTCCAGTAGTCTGCGAACAACAGGAATAATAATAGTCATCTACAAGCCCATAAATATTCTACCTCATTTCGTTTAGCAATGCCAACTTGTTTGTATTGATTTGCCTTTTGCAATATTATGCGCCAAGGTCACTCGCAGAAACCGATGGTTACCAGGGCTCGACTTAGTGCTTTGTTACTTGCACTGGTGCAACCCAATATTACAAAGTGCAACCTAGTTATTAGTCTAACTTGCACAGGTGCAAGTACATTTTTCAGTGGATAAACTTCTGAATATAACATCTAAATAATTCAATAGCATATTTCCTTCAATACATATTGCAATAAAAGCAGTGCAACTGGAATTTGGCTGGTGCAACTATGTTTTTATTTTAGTTTGCACCTGGTGCAGGTAGGTTGACATCTCTTACACTGAGCCCTGTAAGATTCTTTAGGCTACGTAGTTTCATATAGCTTGGGTTTGTTTGGATTTGGTTTAACGTCGCACATTGCTACGGCAGGGATCTATACTGGCTGCTCTTGTAATGACAAAGGAAGGGAGGTAGGGCGGAATGCTGGCGTGGAACAAGGTGGATCCAGGTCTAATACTGTGTCCTTTTATGAGGAATCGCTTCTACCATGAACATAGTTTAATACTGAGGTCAGTTAATACACTGTCCTGGTTCTACAAGGTCTCAGTACAGAGGTGCAGGATATTATAGGTACTTACAAGGTCCAGCGTTTTGTATGTTCGGGTCAATGAAATTGTTTCTTTCAGGAAGAGCCAGATCATGGACCTTTCCCATCAGATGTCCGAACTCGTGAGTATAGTCCAACTAGAAAAACCCAGATAATGGTAATATTCAAACATTAAAATATTGTATATTGCACAATCCCTTTAATCTGCACAGAACACAACACACATTGTATATAGAACAACCCCTTTAATCTACATAGAATAACACCTGTAGAACACAACACACATTGTATATAGAACAACCCTTTTAATCTACATAGAATAACACCTGTAGAACACAACACACATTGTATATAGAACAACCCCTTTAATCTACATAGAATAACACCTGTAGAACACAACACACATTGTATATAGAACAACCCCTTTAATCTACATAGAATAACACCTGTAGAACACAACACACATTGTATATAGCACAACCCCTTTAATCTACATAGAATAACACCTGAAGAACACAACACACATTGTATATAGGACAACCCCTTTAATCTGCACAGAACACACCTGTAGAACACAACACATATTGTATATAGGTCAACCCCTTCAATTTGCACAGAACACACCTGTAGAACACAACACATATTGTATATAGGACAACCCCTTTAATTTGCACAGAATATACCTGTAGAACACAACACACATTGTATATAGCACAACCCTTTTAATCTGCACAGAATTCAACTGTAGAATACAACACACATTGTATATAGCACAACCTCTTTAATCCACATAGAATACACCTGCAGAACACAACACACATTGTATATAGCACAACCCCTTTAATCTACATAGAATAACGCCTGTAGAACACAACACACATTGTACATTGCACAACCTCTTTAATCCACATAGAATAACACCTGTAGAATACAATACACATTGCATATTGCACAACCCCTTTAATCCACATAGAATAACACCTGTAGAACACACACTGTACATTGCACAACCTCTTTAATCCACATAGAATACACCTGCAGAACACAACACACATTGCATATTGCGAAAACCTCTTTAATCCACATAGAATACACCTGTAGAACAGAACACACATTGCATAGAACACAACCTCTTTAATCCACATAGAATGCACCTGTAGGACAGAACAAACATTGTTTTTAGCACAACCCCTTTAATCCACATAGAGTATCCACCTTCATACGCCGGGCGGGCGAACATGCACAGAAAACATAGTGACACAGATGACACGGATGACAACTGTGTGTAGGGAATCAAACCCGGATCTTCGATGTGAAGCACCAACGCGATACCCACTAACCTACACACTACATCATATTCCAGGATTTGAGCAAGTATCGTTGTTGTCTTACCTTTCTTGGACATGGCGACATAGTTCCAGTGCTTGATCCGCCCACTATAGAATAACACCTGTAGAACAGAACAACCATTGTATAAACACAGAAGTTTCATCCGCATAGAATACACCTGTAGAACAGAACAAAAATGTATAAAGCACAACCCCTTTAATCCACAAATTAAGACCTGTACAACAGAACAAACAGTTTATACAGCACAACCCCTTAAATTCGCATAGGATACACTTGTAGAACAGAACAAACACTCGTTAAAGCACAACCCCTTTAGTTTGGATACGTACGACGGGCTGGTAACGATGGTAACAAAGTTCTTTGTTTTCAGTGGCCCGTAGGGACTTGTCGCGTGGGACGTGGAAGCATTTCCCTTGTCCCAGAATCTGAGGCACGTGTTGTTCTCCGCATAATCCATGAATTCTCGAAACATCTTCCTCAGGTTAGAATCTGGAACAGTGGCGGATCCAGAGGGGGAGTTCAGGGGGTTCGAAACACACACACACCCCACCCCACCCCTTTGAAAATGACTTAAGATCACATTGAAGATTTTGTTTTTGAGTTGGCGGAGCCAATGGGGGGTTCAGGAGGTTCGAACCCCCTGAACCCCCTCCTTTCAGAATTCCTGGATCCGCCCATGTGGAAATACATAACACTCTTCATTGTCCCCACTGATAGTAAACCGTAACGCCACACCCAGCAATATTCCAGCTATAAGGCAGCGGTCTGTAAATATTCGAAACTGGACCAGACAATCCAGTGATCAACAGCAGGAGCATCTATCTACGCAATTAGGATACGATGACATGTGTCAACCTAGTCAGCGAGCCTGACCACCCGTTAGCTGCCTCTTACGTGACGTTAGGAAGTCGGACTGTGAGGGAATAAAATAATTTAGTGACGTGCTTTGAACAGTTGCTGGTCTGTTTTCATGGGGGAGAGAAGCCTGAAGTGACACAAGTCTAATCATACCCCATTCACATGCACCTATTTACATATGTGTGTACATTTACAAACCAGGGCGCACACAGGTTTTTGAGAAAGGGGCGGGGGGTGGAGGTGTACAGTTCATTCTCACCCGTTTTCACGAGAGTTTCAATGGTCATTTAATAAACTTTCAGGACATAACAAAGGGGAGAGGGGGAGGGGGAGGGTTGTGTGTTTCCGCCTATGCAAACTCTTACCCCCGAGAGCAAATGTTGTGCATGTGAGTGGGGCTTTGGATGTTTACAACTTAGGGATACCCACTAGCTCAGTTGTGGGAGCAAATGTTGTGCATGTGAGTGGGGCTTTGGATGTTTACAACTTAGGGATACCCACTAGCTCAGTTGTGGACGCAAATGTTGTGCATGTGAGTGGGGCTTTGGATGTTTACAACTTAGGGATACCCACTAGCTCAGTTGTGGGAGCAAATGTTGTGCATGTGAGTGGGGCTTTGGATGTTTACAACTTAGGGATACCCACTAGCTCAGTTGTGGGAGCAAATGTTGTGCATGTGAGTGGGGCTTTGGATGTTTACAACTTAGGGATACCCACTAGCTCAGTTGTGGGAGCAAATGTTGTGCATGTGAGTGGGGCTTTGGATGTTTACAACTTAGGGATACCCACTAGCTCAGTTGTGGGAGCAAATGTTGTGCATGTGAGTGGGGCTTTGGATGTTTACAACTTAGGGATACCCACTAGCTCAGTTGTGGGAGCAAATGTTGTGCATGTGAGTGGGGCTTTGGATGTTTACAACTTAGGGATACCCACTAGCTCAGTTGTGGGAGCAAATGTTGTGCATGTGAGTGGGGCTTTGGATGTTTACAACTTAGGGATACCCACTAGCTCAGTTGTGGGAGCAAATGTTGTGCATGTGAGTGGGGCTTTGGATGTTTACAACTTAGGGATACCCACTAGCTCAGTTGTGGTGCTGCCAAAACCAAGGATGGATTTGGGAATCGAACTCGCGATCGAATGAGGGACGCATGTAACACAGTGATTTGAACGAACGAGCAGCAGATCCTGTCACGGTAAGGGAACCCACTCTGGGACATGATATAGCATGGCGTATGCAGTTTGTTTGTGCATTGTTTACTGCCGCATCCAGACATATTCCAACAATTTGGCGGTGGTCTGTAAAGAATTCGAGGTTTGTCCAGACGTTCCACTGACTGACATCATTAGCATTGTATGTAATACGGTTATGATGTGTCAAAGTATGTGAAGGAACCTGACCACCCGATCCCGTCAGTCGCCACTTACGACAAACACGTTTTGCTTAGACCAATTCTAACCCGGATCTTCACAGGTGAGTTCAGCAGATAGAATGTCATTTGAGCTCATTAACAGCAAATGTTGACTTACTGACTTCTTTCGAGAACACGTAGGGAACTACTTTGTCCACCCACTGTCCGCTTCTCTTGACAGCCCGCCTGTGACGGGACCTCTGAAATACAAACAGAAGCATTAGTGATACACACCTCCCCCGGCACCCTGTCCCAAACTGACATCAGTCTGTTTTACAATAAAGGCAGCTCGACCTCAATCTAGTTGATATAACCAGTTCAGCCATTGTAGCCACCCAATCCCCAAAGATCGGCTCTTACCACGAACACGGCCTGCGTTATTGACTGTCAAATTGCAGGATGCAATTATGTTTATTAACATTCATTCAAATAAGTGAATTCGTGGGATACACAGGTTTTGATATGGCCTGGACTTGTTATGACTATGAAGGTGCCGGGGCGGTGGGGTAGCCTAGTGGTAAAAATGTTCGCTCGTTACGCCGAAGACCCAGGTTCGATTCCCCACATGGGTACAATGTGTGAAGCCCATTTCTGGTGTTTCCCGCCGTGACATTGCCGGAATACTGCTAAAGGCGGCGTAAAACCTACCCAATCACTCACTCACTTACTCACTATGAAGGTGCCTTCTAATTCAATACACGTTGTCTAAACCAGATTATTTGTAGTCCCGATGAGTGCCGGTTCAGACAGCTTCCACTGTACTTTCAAGGAGTTAAGGACCAACCAGTTCGTTCATATTATTGGAGTAAATCTATCATGCTGTAATATGACAACATAGGTTGATTCCTAACTTCTTCTGAGCAGTATATGTTAAGAATTGAATACCTCATTCATCTGGTTCACCACCAGGTAAGTATGGAACACATTCGGATCAGCCCGGTGTTGCTTCCATCTTGTGTCCTGTGGGCGAGTTGCGCCGCCGGCAGCGCTGCTGGCAGTGTGCATGTGCAGGAATTCCCGTTCTTCGGGACTCCGGGCAAAGACAGAATATGTTGACGTCATCGCCAACAGAAGCAGCGATAACGGCGGCATCTTCTGAAAATACAAATACGACTATGAATGGTGTTGCTGTCCTTAACTATAATGCTACCTAAACTGAGTTTTAATGTAAGAACTGTTGTTAAAACGGATTATCTTCGTGCAACGGTTTTTTATCTAGTTGACTACTTTTGCAAAAAAACAGATTGGTCAATGATGATTGTACCACAAAATGAGTTTACAACCGCCTGTCCCCTACATTGTTTGAAATGACAGAAACGAAATTCATTGATTTTCAAAGGAGAGATGGTTAAGACACCCATCAACATTAAGTTTGTGTATTATGCGATTATGCGACTTGAATTTTCTTTTCTGAAACGGAATCTATATAGAATTATTCCCTGGGTGCTGACTTAGCGTCCATACTATTCTTTGTTTACGGTTAATGTCGCTAATGTAAGATATTTTGAAAGTCACAACGGCCATATCTCGGATTTGTCAAACTACAACCAATAAACCTTACCCTAACCCCTAAGTAAACTCACGTACTTTCAAAGATGGCGGAAGGTATCCGGAATTCTGTAGTCTTACCAATATTCTAACGTTCACCAGACAATCCAGTGACTGAGATCATGAGCATCTATGTACCTAACTAGGGTGACCTGTATTAACCAAGACAGCGAGCGTGACCAAAAGATCCGGTTTTCTCGTCACGCAGACCCAGGTTCGATTCCCCACATGGGTACAATGTGAGAAACCATTTCTTGTGACCCCAGGCATGGTATTGCCGAAATATTGTTAATAGCGGCGTAAAACTAAACTTGGTTGCCCTGACAACCATGGGTTGCTGATGACTAATCCAAACCCTGATCTTCATGGGTCATCAGTTTTTCAGTGTCAAAGGATAATCCCACTTGTTGATGGCAAGACATTTATCATTTCAACAAATACACAAGTGCACGGGTGTGATCCTGACAAGCGAAGAATCATAATGAGGGCGATTCTTTGATTCGAACCCACGATAATGGTTTGGTAAGGGCTTAATGTACATGAATGAAGGTTTTGTCAACTTACATGATTACACAATGTAATTTTAGAAAGTGGTCAGCTGTAATATATGTTATATTTGTGATCACACTTTCTTAGTCAAGTAGAAATTCTAGCACTTTTGGGGGGTTGAGTCCCATCCGGGATAGAACCCGGGTCTTCGGCGTGAAGAACGAACGCTTCAACTACTAAGTTCCCCCACCGTCCAAAATAAAATTGAGAGAGTTGTTATTTCATATGCACAGTATTGAGAAAGGGAGTGTGCACATTTCATTTTCACAAGAGTTTCAATGGTCGTTTAATAAACTTTCAGGACAAAAAAGGGGTGGTGGGGTGGGGTGGGGGTGGGGTGGGGTGTGTGACGTACCACTGCAACCTGCAACCCCACCACCACCCCTCTGGATCCGCCCATGATACCCCTTCGCCCCTGAACCATATTATCTTCCCACCCAGTCCTCTCTGTAATGCAGGACCCGTGAAGATCTGGGGTAGAATAGGTCTTCAGCAACCCATGTGCTTGCCATAAAAAGGCGACTATCTTGTCGTAAGAGGCGACTAACGGGATCGGGTGGTCAGTTTCGCTGACTTGGTTGACACATGTCATCGGTTCCCAATTGCGCAGATCGATGCTCATGCTGTTGATCACTGGATTGTCTGGTCCAGACTCGATTATTTACAGACCGCCGCCATATAGCTGGAATATTGCTGAGTGCGGCGTAAAACTAAACTCACTCACTCACTCACTCTGTAATGCAGAAGTTCAGAAATCTACCACCTCACTTGGGCTACGCTTCCAATCAACTCAAATCATTATTGGAATGTTGGGTTACAGAGTTACTTCCCTTGCCATAACTATACGTCATCGCCCATCAAACATTTTATGACGCTTCCAGCGGTTTCCCAGGGATAATTTGTTCATTTCATGAACGGGAAACAATTACAGAATTGTTTCTGAATGTTTCCTGGGAACCATGAATCCCCAAATACAGAATGAGTACTGTTTTGTGGCGTTTTAGCAATATACTATATACTATATAAAACTATATTACAGCGCGAACAATAGAAATAAGCTTCACATAATGCACCCTAGTCGGTATCAAACTCGAGTCTTCTTATAAGTACTCTTATAACACAAGACTGTTCCCCTATCCCGTTTCCTAGAATTAATAGTTACGCTTGCCCTAAATACACAAATCTTTGCACACCATTGTGTGTCTCCCAGCCTGAATGTGAGTCTACATTGTCCGCCCAACAGGAAGAAGGAAACTGATCCCTCATCTGAATCAAAGCAGCAACTATAGATGGATTTCCTGTTTGGCTTCAGACCCATATTCACAACCCATGATATAGAGAACATAATGTAAAGCCAATATAGGCCTATATCTCGTAACAATCAGAACGTGTTGGCATAAGCATACTACTCCTGCCGCTACTACAATACTGCTTTTGTTGCTGCTACTGCTGCTACTACTACTACTATATTACTACTACTACTACTACTTCTACTGCTACTACTACTACTATATTACTACTACTACTACTGCTTTTGCTGCTGCTGCTGCTACTACTGCTACTACTACTACTACTACTGCTGCTACTACTACTACTACTACTTCTACTTCTATTACTACTACTACTATATTACTACTACTACTACTACTTCTACTGCTACTACTACTACTATATTACTACTACTACTACTGCTTTTGTTGTTGCTGCTGCTGCTGCTACTACTACTACTACTACTGCTGCTACTACTACTACTTCTACTTCTACTTCTATTACTACTACTACTACTACTATATTACTACTACTTCTACTTCTACTACTACTACTACTACTACTATATAACTACTACTACTATATAACTACTACTACTATATTACTACTACTACTTCTACTACTACTACTACTACTACTACTACTACTGCTGCTGCTGCTTTTGTTCCTGCTACTGCTGATACTACTACTACTACTACTACTACTACTACTGCTGCTGCTACTACTACTACTACTACTACTATATTACTACTACTACTACTACTGACCCGTGAAGATCCTGGTTAGAATTAATCTTAACGTAGATAGATGTTCATGCTGTTAATCACTGGATTGGCTGGTCCAGACTCGATTATTTACAGACCGTCGCCATATAGTTGGAATATTGCTGATGGCGGCGTAAAACTCAACTCACTCACTCACTACTACTACTACTACTACTACTACTATACTACTACTATATTACTAATACTACTACTACCACTACTACTACTACTACTACTACTGACCCGTGAAGATCCGGGTTAGAATTGATCTTCAGTAACCCATAATTGTCGTAAAAGGCGACTAACGGGATCGGGTGGTCAGGCTCGCTGACTTGGTTGACACATGTCATGGTATCCGAATTGCGTAGATAGATGTTCATGCTGTCGATCACTGGATTGTCTGGTCCAGACTCGATTATTTAAAGACCGTCGTCATATAGTTGGACTGACTGACTGACTGAGTTTAGTTTTACGCCGCTTTTAACCATATTTCAGCTATATCACGGCGGGGGACACCAGAAATGGGCTTCACACATTGTACCCATGTGGGGAATCGAACCCGCGTCTTCGGCGTGACGAGCCAACGCTTTAACCACTAGGCTACCCCACCGCCCCTCATATAGTTGGAATATTGCTGAGTGCGGCGTATGACTAAACTCACTCACTACTACTACTACTACTACTACTACTACTACTACTACTACTACTACTACCACTACTACTACTACTACTACTACTACTACGACTGCTATTACTTTTACTTCTACTACCACAGCTACTGCTGCTGTTATTACTAAATTGTATTATTATTATAACTACTACTACTGCTATTACTACTACTACTACTACTACTACTACTACTACTGCTGCTGCTGCTGTCGTTGCTACTACAACTACTACAACAACTTAAAATAACGTGGAGTATATGATGAGGTTTCCTTGTTGTTCAGATGTTATCCATACTCCGATCATACAACAATGGGGAGGGACAAGAGAAGTGGGCTTCAGACAGTGCAGCAGCTAAGGAGTCGCACCAGGTCTTCGTCGGGACAAGTCAAACCTTTAACCACAAGGCTACCCAACCAACTCCATACTCATGACCATCCGTTTTTTTCCTATTCTTATTGAATACATCAGTAAAATAATTGCACATCATATTGTTTCGTGTCTCGTCAAAAGAAGGTTTCTTTAAACAATATTTTTGTCAACTCACCTTTTATATTCTGAAAACCTAGATGCTTGTGATACAATGCCCTTCACGCCAGGTCTGAAATCAAACAAAGGTGGTCACTTACAACATCCTCACTAAGGACAAATACGCAATATCTAATGAGCCCAAATCGAGGATTATTAAAGTATGTGTACAACGCAGCTCTCTCGGAGGAGCGGGACACAGAAATATGCATACCTCATTTCCCCCCGACCTTGTGCCCTGGCGGACAAACACCCAACAGCCAGGCAATACCTTCTTCCACAGATGCAGCGGCATGGCGGCTACAATACCCTGGGAGGAGATGGAGCACATACAGGCCACGTGAAAACCCCATAGTCGGGAACCTTGTCAATCCAGACACTCTTTGTTCCGGACATATAGTGATGGTGACGTGTTTTTTATTTAACGGAGCGTTAACAGATGCACAACATCCTAATACATACGGAAACGAAACCCTGTTAGTCGGGAACCTTGTCAACCCGGACATTATCTATTCTGGAAGCCTACTAATGGGGATCGTTGGATTGTTTAACGGAGCGTTAACAGGTGCACAACATACTGATACAGAAACCCCCTTAGTCGGGAACCTTGTCAATCCGAATACTCTCTGTTCTGGAACCTAGTAATGGTGACGTTTTTTCATTTAACGGAGCGTTAATTGATGCACAACATACCGATACACATACGAAGGAAAACCTGTTAGATGGGAACCTTGTCAATCAAGAAACTCAATTTTCTGACCGACTACTGATGGGGGTATGGTTTTATTTAACGGTGCGTTAACAAATGCACAACATACTGATACAGAAACTCTGTTAGTCGGGAACCTTGTCAATCTTGTCGCTCTGTGTTCCGAACGATGGGGACTTGTTGGTATGTAACGGAGCGTTAATAGATGCACAACAGACTGATATGCATAGACGAATGAAACCTCGAAAACCTCGGGAGCCTTGTCTATCCGTAAAACAGGACGTGACGGTATTTGACGGAATGTTAATACATTCTCAACTGATTCGTCACGAAATAACTGTCACTCACTACATGCCCATGGTTCTTTTTTTCCGGGATATCTAATAAACTGGACGATTCACTGGTGCGTGTGTACGTTGTAAGTGTGATATGGATTTTCCGTTTCTATTTCCTTATCTCCAACATTTAGCTATGGTCACTGTTCAGAAAACAGCTATGCTGGGTACCAGCCCTTACGAGGTGAGAAATTGGGTTTAACGTCGTGCTTGAGAATATTTCGCTCATATGACGACGTGCATGCGTATGTATGTGTGCGGCTGCTTGTACTAGCCCAGACTGAAGCCGGTTTTATAGTGCTAGCCCACTGAGATACTATGCCGAAGTGAAGCATGAATACCCTTCTCAGACAAATTATACTGACTCCGAGCCGACTAGTCCTTGTTGTACCCATTAATGCTGAGCGCCAGGCAGGGACCAACAAGTACCATATTTTAAGGTCTTTTGGTATGACGCGGTCGGGGATCGAACCCGCGACCTTCCGCTCTCCGGGCGGACGCTCTAACCACTACACCACGGAGGCGGTCTCTATATTATGTAGTTTATAGAATATTGTCAATGTTCCTTCATGAAATGCTATGCAATAAATATCTTATCTTATCTTATGAATGTAAATTAAAATTCATACAGCGCCTAAAAATGTTAAAGATAGTGGAAGTTATAAATATAACACAAGATGGTTCATTCTCACAACCACGTCTCCATGAGCCTTGACCTTCAACCTTTGTGGACGCATCACCGGGGCCAGGATGTGAGACGAGTACCGCCCGGATGTAACTTGGTGGCTGTCTGTTGTATGTCACCCAGTGCACATGCACTCCCTCACCACTATGACGACAATTACACAGATTCTCTTTCAATACATTATGAATAACCAGATTCAGGGCCAGACTGCTTATGTTCGTGACTCTTAACATGCATTCATTCGTTTGACGTCATTGTGTGGTGAAGCAGGTCATTCACGTGGGATTGTTATTATGCTAATAGGTATATGCGTAAAGAGAATAGTGGTAACATTTCTCATCCATCATACATCTCACACTGCCACCTTCTCATTTTACGCTGGTTTCGTGTCAACTAAGTGTAAAAATGCCATGACTATATAATCAGCGTTTTTAAGGTCATGGCTGGTTTGTTAACGAAAGTATTCAGACTATGGTTAAATCCAATAAGGTGACACAGCGGGTGGATTTGAAACAACATGGGAATATGAACATACAAAAAGGTGAGGTGAGGTGAAATTGGGTTTAACGTCGTACTTGAGAATATTTCGCTCATATGACGACGTTCATGCGTGTGTATGTGTATGTGCAGCTGCTTGTACTAGCCCATACTGAAGCTGGTTTTATAGTGCTAGCTCACTGAGATACCATGCCGCAGTGAAGCATGAATACCCCACTCAGACACATTATACTGACTCCGAGCCGACCAGTCCTTATTGTACCGAATAATGCCGAGCGCCAGGCAAGGACCAACAAGTACCATATTTTAAGGTCTTTTGGTATGACGCGGTCGGGGATCGAACCCGCGACCTTCCGCTCTCCGGGCGGACGCTCTAACCACTACACCACGGAGGCGGTCAGATACAAAAAGACGTGAACATACAAAATATAGAAAAAACAACCTTTGTGCACTGTACAACCATACCGTGATTATCATTCACTACCATACATAAACATGGAATGCAGGTGTAGAACGCTTGCATACAATGGTTCACAAACCACGAGTTGCATGTTCGCGTGCTGCGGAGACACCAAGCACATGGGGGTGTAGATGTCGTAATTGCTGTATGCGCTCCAGTTTCAGAACTAATCTGAAAGTCGACTATACTGGTAATTTGAAGACTATTCGTCTCAAGGAATATCCAGAATTTGGATTACATGAGTTGTTCTCCTACCTTAGTTCTGGCGAACCGTTCCAACAAATATATATGATGATTATTACCATTGATTATTATAATGTTGTTCAGATTGTCAGATACAGACAAAGTGTTAGCGAACGTTCGTGCTACGACATCCTCTGGTTGCGTGATATGGGTCAGCCATGCGTACCTGGCCATCCAGGCATTTAACTTACACGCCAGCGTGGACATTTCTGTGTACGAAAAAATATCACTTTAAATACGATAGAACTTGGGGTTTATTTGACGTATGGGGACACAGCTATTATTACAGACTTGTATGTAGGACGTCTCTTCATTGTTTGACCCGTGAAGGTCCGGGTTAGAATATAGGCCTTCAGTTCCCAATTGCGCAGATCGATGCTCATGCTGTTGATCACTGGATTGTCTCGTCCAGACTCGATTATTTACAGACCGCCGCCATATAGCTGGAATATGGTTGATTGCAGCGTCTAACTAAACTCACTCACTCACTCTTCATTGTTTTCTTTAGGAGTCTGATGACAGATATCTTGATGGGAAATTCATGTTTATATAAAAACAAGGTTTTCATCTGAGGGTGTATTTCTAATGCATCTAACATGTCTGTCATTGTCTAGACCAGGGTCTGTACCTACTGAAGCTGATGAGATTACATGCAACTTGATGATGGACAGCTGTTTCCAGCTGTTATGACATTAACGCATTTGGAGTTACCCACAAATACGGAGGTCTATATCAAGAGGACGAGTACACCTAATCGTTTTCTCACAGGTTCACAAATAGCTTGGACCCGGGATTAGAACTGATCCTCAGCAACCCTTGGTAGTCGTAAAGAGCGACTGACGGATCGAATGGTCAGGTTTGATGACTGGTTTCATAATTGTCACCTAATTCCCAAATGATGTCAGTATCTGGATTGTCTAGATTTACAAGCTATCACCATTCAGCTGGAATATTGCCGAGTGGGGCGTGTAGCAACACACCAGCAAGCTGACACACAAACACATTGTAACAAAATATGACAACCCAAGACATGAGCTGACTGCATACGCTCTAGTAAAGTAGGACGATGTGCAGAACATATGTCTGAATGAAACTAGGAACAGGGTCATTGCGGAGTAGACAGACAGGTATGTGTGTGACAAGTGTTGTAGCTATGTACATACGTTTATCTATTACTTAAAAGGAGTCCTGAATATTTTACTAAGTACATGTGATGTAAGATCATTGGTGTTTTAGTTGCTTTTAACCACCCGTGCTACTTGTGAGGAAGATCATGCTGAGGGTTCGAGGAAAAGCTCTTCACCTGTGGGAACTATTTAAGGAAAAGATCTTCGTTGGTTGGTTGGTTGGTTGATTGGTTGGTTGATTGATTGGTTGGTTGGTTGATTGGTTGATTGGTTGTTTAACGCCGCACTCAGTCATATTCCTGACAAATAGCAGTGGTATGTAAATAATTGAGTCTGGGCCAGACAATCCAGTGATCAGGAGCATGAGCATCGTTCTACGTAAATGGGATACGATGACATGTGTCAACATTTCTGGTGTCCCCCGGCGTGATGTTGCTGGAATATTGCTAAAAGCGGCGTAAAACCAAACTCACTCAGTCATTCAGACATGTGTCAACATTTCTGGTGTCCCCCGACGTGATGTTGCTGGAATATTGCTTAAAGCGGCGTAAAACCAAACTCACTCAGTCATTCAGACATGTGTCAACCAAGTCAGTGAGCCTGACCACCCGATCCTGAAGTGACCTATTACAACAAGCATGGATTACTCAAAGGCCAACTCTAACCCGGATCTTCACTGGTGAAAAACATCTTCCACAATGAGGACTCTTTAAATAAGATTAACATGATAAGAAATCAGTCCGGTATTTCCTTGGACATATACTTAGAAGCAAAATTTATTTGGCATTGAGTTTCTTCATTGGTAATAGTGTGAAAGACGTGTAGGATTTGAACCAGAGAAACAGTGTGTTTAAATGGTCAAAGAAATGCAAGCAAGCAGTGTTCGTTTGAATTGCACGAAATTTGCAAGAATCATGCATGTTAAGAAAAAATAGATTGATGTTTATGTTTTAGCGTGGTACCTCGCAAGCGTCACGTTATTCGTCGATCAAACGTCAATGGAAACACCATTTGGACCAAAAGGAGACGTT